TTCGCGCTTCATCTTCCACTCATCCAGGTAAGGGCAGCGTGAGAAACCTCGATCGGGGGTGTGGGATAATTATTGAGTAATATGATTGGTCAGTAATCCCTTACCTGATGCATACTTTAGGAATAGGCAAATTATGAAAGTTTTCTGTTTTAATATCTGAGTTTTCTGTTGGGTTCCTGATTGGATGTGATGCATGAATATGTGTTTGATTTTGAAATTAGATAAGTTTTTCTATGAATTAGAGTGTTTTGTGGGTTCTTGTGGGAAACCTTGTGAGAAATAATTACGGATATGATCTTTTGATAAGATTTGAAGTAGTTTACGTAAAATTAAGTATGGATTCGTGTTCTGGGTGTTATTTGAAGTTTTTTAACTGATTGAATGTTATAATTACGTGTTTGTTTGTGAAATATGCAAGATTTCGCGAAGTTAAGTAATGCATGTTCACATTGGGGCGTTAGGCATAGTTTTTAGCATCGGGAGCATTTTTTAAGTCGGGCTTAACTTTTAAGTCGGGCTTAATTTTTTAAGTCAAGCTTAACAATTAAGCCAGGCGCAATTTTTTTAAGCCAGGCTTAACAGTTAACCCGGGCGCAATTTTTTTAAGTCGGGCGCAAGAAAGTCTCGTTGGGCAAATTTCTTCGCTTTAGGCGTGACATTTAATTCACCGAGCGCGCTCAGGGCACGTCGGGCGTGATGCTTCACTTTTGGTGTGATATTTAATGCATCGAGCGCGAGTTAGGGCGCACCAAGCATGATCCCTATGATGTTTTACATGTTTTATGTCTTGTTGGAAAATGCAAATTGTGTGGGAATTGCCGTATTATTATGTTAATGTAAGTGATTTGTTTTATGAGCATGATAAGGATAAGAATCTCCAAATGATGACCTTATGAATATGACTATGAGAAATGTGAAATGTGAACAAGTGACACGAGACATGATGTGAATTACATACTATTGTAAATATTATGACCATGAGAATGTGAAACGTTATGAAATGAGATAAGACATGAAATTCCATGACAAGTAAAGTGATGAGTCCATGAAGTGTGAATGTGTGTGACATGCATCATGTGCATCTATGAGACGGGTACGATATGAAGTACACCGTTAGGAAAGGCCCTCCTTGTGTAACAGCTTGGGGGAGTCCTAGGGGATTGTGCAGTTTAAATGTCTCGATTTCGCTCGTTTGTGAGCACGAGACATAACTTGTGCAGCTTCGTTATCTCGACCAGACCCTAGCAGTACATCCTTATAGTTGAGAGTGTATGGGTAGCTCCCTACATGTACTCCTAGATTGCCTTAGGTGTGTTGTTTAGGCAGCACACTAGTGATATGTGATATGTGACTGGCGCCATATGCATGCATTTATAAGTCGAGTCCATGACATCATTGTATGATAAATGAATGTGCATGTGATACTAATTGTGTATGTGTATTCTTTATATGTGATTTGTGCTTGTGACTTGTATTATGTTTTTTGTTTGTGTGTTTTCTAACATTTATTTTTGCACCTAAACTTGAGTAAGATGTTTCTCACTCCCCTTTTGCTCTTTGTATGTGTTTAAATTGTGTTGCAGGTGATCATCAGTATGAGAACATTGGTGATGAGGCTTAGGCTTCAGTTGGGTGTGCTCTGATAAGATATGTGACATCGGGGTATAGCTGAGCTTAGTTTAAGATTTCATTATTGTTATTTTGTTTTGAAAAAATCCATGTTTCATTTTCTTATAAATTTCGCATTTGACCATGATTTACGTTTACAAATGTGTATTCTCTACTCTTATGTTAGTGGAACCATTATTTTAATTCAAATGATTTTATTTACTCCAAGAATATATTTTTATAATTATTATATATGTATGTTGGGATAGAGAGTGTTACAGACCTACCAAATCATTACATTATTTTTTATAATCTATTTTAGAGTAACATTCATTTTAGCTCCTAAATTTAAAAGTTGTTGTCACATTAAATCTTAATAATAAAAAATTGTATAAATTCCTAAAATGTCAAAAAATTATTAAATTTAATTACTTATTATCATTTTAGTCACATAATTTTTAAATATTAAATTATTATGATTGTGAATTTGTATTTTTAATTACTCATTTTACAATTTTTTTAATTCTAAAAACTAATATAACATTACATCTTGCAAATTCATATACTGAATTGGGTCACTCTAATTCTTAATCGATTAATAATGTAAAAAAAAATTACATCGACATATCGTTCGTAAAATTTAAACTCTATTTGTAATAAATTTAGAACAACCTATTCAATGTCATGACACGGTGCTATGTCATAAATAAACTAAAAATTATATGGATTTTTTTTTATATTATGTGTCAATAAATACACCACGCAAAACTATTAAAAATATTTTATCATGTAATTTAAATTAATATTTCTGTTATTTATTTACTTATTTCGATATCACAAAGGAAAAAATATAACAAAAATTATTATTTTAATAATTCTTTTTATACTTTCAGACATCATATCTACTAATTCCTATCTATCTATATATATATGTAAGATATTTGAAAATTAAATAAAAAAATATTTGAAACACTTTTATTTATAGATATTTTATTTTCTTCAAAGACAAGTGTTCTCAGTCGGAGATGTTGACATCTTTTAATAGGGTTTTATATTCTCCCAACAAGATTATACTATATAAAAAAAATGAATTATACTTGAACTAATACGATGCTTTCTAATTTAAGTTAATTGAGAAATTAAAATATACTTTAAAAAGAAAGCAACAATTGAATTACTTTGGTAATGTTAATATAATAATTTTGATGTATCTTTAGGTTATTTACTTGTATGTGAACACATGATTTAATAGATAATTTTACAAGAAAATTATTAATAAACAAGAATAATAAGAAGAAGAAAGTATATATAGTCCAATCATATATTTGAATGGACTATAAATTCTAGAATAAGGTATGAGATATGAGTATGATACGTTTTGATAATTGGACCTACTGACACAGTTCCGTGGGCATTGGAAACCTTGCTCACCACAATTCCAGAAATAAAATCTATCAAAATCTAAAACGTATAAACATTAAATCTTTGCCCTTATTGGTCAATTTGGATGTTTCTATTTCTCTCTCTTACGAGTACAATTCCAACATCCATATATCTAATAGGCTACATGAGGCAGCCATGCCCTCTCACGTCATTATATATATATAATCCATTTGCAAAGAACTGTTAAAATATATATATATATATATATA